GAAGGGAGAGGAGGGGAGGGGAAGGGAGAAGAGGGGAAAGGAGGGAAAGGAAGGGGAGGGGAGGGAAGAGACAAACACCCTTTTTCCCCGACTCCTAAAAAGCCCAAATGGTCTTATGCAATCACAATCTCTTTGCACTACATTGCTCTGAAAAAAAGACCTAGATCAGTGATGATGAACTTTTTAGAGACCAAGTGCAACCCCAAATCCACTTATTTATTGTGAAATGCCAACACTGCAATTAAATCTGAATACTAAGGTTTTTAATGCAGAAAAACAACTCATACATAAATATCTTTTGTCTAAAAAACCAACATGCATGCCATAGGTTCTTCGCTACTGACCCAGACGCTTATGGAAGATGGGAGGTTAAACTATCTTTGTCAAGTAACTGCTCTTTCCTCTGAGAAAAACTCGCAGCCAGGTAGACTCCAATTTCAAATAGGAAACCTGCCACAGGATTTAAAAAATGATGCTGCAACTGACCCTGCTGAACACACCCTGCTGAAAAATGACATACCTTTGAAAAAAGCGTATTTCACCTTGCTGAGTTCCTCCCGTTCTTACCTTGTGGGAATTATTTACTCCTACACTGGGTGCTGCTTGTACCTGCCCCACGACCGGTAGGTGCTCTGCTGGCCTCTGGGAAGGAGGTGCAGGGAGGGGACGGTGGGTTCTGTGGGAGCGCTGCAGAGTGGCAGCAGCAAAGTCGGCAGCAGCAGGCTGTTCAGCCACCACTCCACTGTCATCCTTGGGGCTTGTTTCGGCTGCTGTCATGGAAGCCAAGGTGGCTGCTCCGCTATTCTCTTCAGGGGACCCAGGAGACAGGTAGCTTTTGTCCCGAGGCAAATTCAAGGGCAGGGGAGATTCGTCTGCACATTCTGAGGGCTGATGGGGCTTCTCCACACTTGCACCCAAGCATGAGGGACGCAGGCCACCGCTGTAGTAGTGGGGGGCCGACCGGTCCTGCTCCGCAAAGGAGACACTGAGCACACGGGGCTTCCCCGCTTGGCGTTCAGGTAGGCGCTCCAGATCGTCAGACTTCTCGGAGTCAGTTAGGGGAGCCAAAGAGATTCTGGCCTTCTCTGGGTCTCCCGGTAAACAGTTTCGATGTGACTGATTCCCTGGTAAGTCTGCTTGGTGAAGATGCTCCCCAGACTCTGTTGTGTGGGAGTGGGGGGAGTCCCCAGGAGCTGCTGTCTCTGAGAGAGGCTGGTCACTGTTCCTCAGCAAGCTGTCCTGGAGGCGGAACTGCTCTGCTGCTTGGTCTGTCTGGAAATAGGCCTTATCTAGAGCAACACTAGAGTAGGGACTGGGCAGCTTATCTTCAGTGGTAGCCACTATATCTCCATAATTCGTATACCCAGCCTGGGAAGCCCCTGGTCTCTTCAATGTCTGGGTTGAGGCTTGCTGTGCAGACTCAGCTAATGCTAGTGCCAACATTCGGGCGACATTTTTCGGAGGCGGAGGTGGTGGGATAAGAGAGACTGAACTGACAGGAACGGGATCCTGAGGGGGGTCATGGGTAACTGCTCCTAGTGGGAAATTGGGAAAAAAAATGAGAATGAAAAGGTAGCTTACGTTATTCTTTACGGAAAGTCAAACACTCCCTATATGATCATTAAAAAATAGATGCCTTCCATATTTCAAAATGGCAATCCATGATCTTCTATCCCACATGCAAATGTTGTTGAAAACACATCTGGTTCAGAAGGAAAACTAAAATAGTATTTAAAGGTTGCAAGCTCCTCTTGAATTGCTACAGAAGTGCAAAAGGGAGCAGGTTCCTCACCTGGATCAAAAAAGACTGCTTAGAACACAAACTGTGAGTGCTTCCAAACTGTTATTAAGCATAATTTTTACACGGGGTGGTACAGGCTGGCTTGTTAACTTGTATGGCTAGCAAAATTGTATTTATTTGAAAACAGAATCAAGCGCTAAGAAGTTGTATAAAAATTATCCATAAATTCTGACTATCCAAAGAGGTAAGGGGAGTTGCGTGACAGTCTGAAGGAGCACTACAGGCTCTTTGGGGAGTTTTGTTTGATTGACTTTAATTTAGGGCTTTGAGCCATCAGTATCATTGAGAAAAGCATTCTCTTTGATTAAAGACTAGCTGTGGTGCAAATTTCTGTTAGAAGGCACAGATGGCACACAGGATTGAAGACCCCTCTTAACTTAAAGAAAGAAGGGAGGAAAGCAAACAGTACCTGTCTGAGTCTGTCCAGGAGCTAGAGCCTTACTCTGACTGCTCGGGACAGACTGCTCCTCTTTCCCTGGCAATTCTACTTCTTCAGCAGCCACCTGGTCCAGGGGCTGGATGTCAGGTTCACGTCCTTCTTGGGCCTCTCTCTCATTTGCTTCCATCTTTACTATCTGGGTGGGGGATCTATCTGTGACATCACTGTCTTCCACGCTTTTGTCCCAGGTTGAAGAGGATGCATTCTGAGCTGCAGTATTTGAGATGATACCAATGACTTCTGACACGCGAGGTGGAAGGGTCACTGAAATTGGCTCAGATATGTTCATGGAGGGTGATTTAGTCAACTTCCGTCCAATCTTTGGAGAGAGCGCATAGACGACCTTCTCAGTGAATGAGCATGGTTTAGATGATTTCTCCTCAGGTGGGCTCAAGTCCAGGGTAAAAAATGGACTCAGTTTCTCCTGAATTGGAGAAACTGGTTCAGAGCTTGCAGTGCTTCCTGGCGTCTGAGACTGGCTGCCACCTGCTTCTGTGTCCTTCTTATTGGCACATGGTTTATCCTTTGAGTATCCTAATGAATCTAAAAAGGAAGCACCACTCTCCAGACATTCTGGCTCGGCCTTAGGAGGACTGCATTGAAAGGACATTGGATCAAAATCCAGGCTGGCCACTCCAATGTCAGGTGGGCTCAAGTCCACGTCCTCAGCGGAGGGAGGAGACATTAGAGCTGGAATGTGCAGTAGCCCTACTTCCTCCTCACTCTCGTTGTCATGGGGCAAATTATCATAGGAATTACAGCGGTTCCCCAGAATTTCTCCATTGAAAGAGGCAGACAGGGCATCACTGCTAGATCGGGGTCTTCTCGGCCGGAAGAGCTTGGAATCACCTAGTAAAAATGGATAGCAACGTCACTTTATGAATGCCGCTGGATGTGTAATACTAAGGTGAGCAGGAACCTTCTGTCCAGGGTATGAAAACAGAATGGCTTGTTCTCTTCTGTCAACTGCCTCAGGGTGCACATGAATCATTCACACTTACAGTAACAGAACCCTCAAGTCAGCGGCTACAGGATAAGCATTTCTGACGTGAGCAGAGAGAGAAGGCAGCGTGTCATGATGTGCATGAGGAGGACAAAGGCAGGACTCTGAGGTTCTGTCGCTGCTTCACACTACTGCTGGGACTTTGGGTACGTTTATTTTTTATTTTATGGAGAAAAGTAAAACAAAATTTTGTAACAAAATAATAGAATAAAAATAGACAATACTACTGAGTATTGTTATCTGTAAGCCAGTTAATCGGTATACAAGATATGGACTTAAAATTCTTCAAATACTATCAGCACAAATTTTCTCTTCAATGAACTAAGAGAAACTAGTAACATAACTATATAACTATCTTGTATTTTTTTCATTTTCTTTTTTTTTCTTTCTGTCGTATTGTATCACTGGCCTATACGACTCGTGAGGCAGAACTAATCACTTTAAATAGCACCTTGGATATTAAAAACCAAAAAAGATTGCTAAATATCCATATAGTACTCACTTTTGTAAAAATTATGTTATAAGGGATTTCACTTATTTCCTTAATAAGCATAACTTTTCAGTTTCTTAAACAGAGCCCTTTAGAGTGGTAGACAGTATTATAAATTTTATCTTATTAATTAATTAATTAATTTGCAGAACTGGGGATTGAACTCAGGCCCTTGCGCTTGCCAGGCAAGCACTTATTCCACTGAGCCATCTCCCCAGCCCTAGTATTATACAATTTTATGTCCACATAGTTAAAAAAAAAAAAGGAAACCCTGTATTTGATAAGAATTACTGTAATTGCTATAGTGAAAATGTACCCTGTTCCCTACACTGTTTCAGTAGATTAACTTAACTGTAGTTTAATTGACAATCTTGGAAAACACCTTAGATGTCAGCAGTCGAGATAAAACTGTTCTGAACCACAAGCAGAGCCACTGTCAGTGAGGATCTGCCGCCTGAAGAACTAGGCATAAATAAAGATGACAAGACTGACCACCATGATGACACTCCTCCAAGACACTTCAAAAGAGCATGACTTGGCTAATAATTGATTTTAAAAGTCTTTGGGAAAAAACAATCAGTGTAGCTCTTGATCACTTTTGAAAAACAGCCTTCTTTATGATTTGCTGCCCAAACCAAACATCAAATGGCAGGTGCTCTGTTGTGTTCTTACACAGTTCTTACAAAAAATTGTACCTTTTTCCAAAGCAACACTGAGGCAATTTTTTATTCCAAAAAGCACTACGCAGTTGCAACTCTAACTCAATTTTTAGAGAACAAACATCTCTTTTCACATTTTTGTTTTGTTTTCCAAGTTATGTTGCAACCAAGCCTTTTTTCACTATTTACCATGAAACTTTGGTCCCCATTTTAAGCAGATTCACTCTAAATTGCCTTCCCAGGTACTAATTATCCTTCAAAAATGAAGACAATCTGTAATCAGTCTGACCTCTGAAATTTAAGGTCAGGTTAAACTACTATGCAAGATAAAAGACAGTCATGCAAACTGCTTACTTTTGTACTCTGTAACAAGTATCCTCTCACTGGGGACAGTAGTTAACACCAGCTTTTACTAGGCACTAATAAATATGAGTGATTTAGGACAGTTTGGGCATTTTATGTAAATAAACAGCAGCCAAAAGCCAGTCATGCTACCACATTAAAACATTACTGAATTTTAATCTGAAAGGTACTAAATACAGAATAGTATTAAGCATATTATTTATAAAGTGCACTTAATTTATAATGAAGCATTATTTATAAAGTACACGTACTTACTGTGTTATGCACATTCCTTTCGCCATCTATCAGAGAATAAAGCGATTTATGCTTTTTAGTCTTACCGTCAACTGCATGGAGAGAAGTAAGAGACTCTTCACTTTTAGCTGAGCGGAGGGTTCCTTCTGCCCTGCCACCTTAAGAACCAAGAAAAAGCAGTGCGAAGTTTTATTACTGTTACATATTATGGAGTTAAAGGAATCAGAGCTTTTCCTAACATGGGCTTAACCTCCCAGGCGTGATTAGCTGGCATTTTCAACTTACTGTCCTACAATGTGGTGTTGCACTGTTCTCAAAATGGTTTCCCATTTCAAAAATCTCTTTCGTAGAGGATCATGAACTTGAGTAGACGTGAACTGAAATACTTTTTTCAGATCAGGCCTGGTGGCACAAACCTGTAATCCCAGCGCTGGACAGGCTGAACACAGGAGGATCACTACGAGTCTGAGTTGTGTAGTGAGACCCTGCACCAACTACATAA